GATAGATGGATGCGGATGGATGGATGGATGGACGGACGGATGGACTCTTAAATGAATATTAACCTTAGTCAAAGAAATGGACTCAGTTGCTTTACATTAATGTAACACTAAAAAAAAACACGAACATTATGAATATTGATCGATGAAAATCATGTTTATATTAATAATATTGATAACATTGATGACAGTCATGTTAAGTATTGAAAACAAACACGCTGATATCCAAGTGACCTGGTGACAGGTGAAATCATACTGAATACTTACTGAAAGCCTCGCTACAATTTGTATATCTAAATTAGCGGAAGTAGGCGTATAGATATACTAAATATAGGTATACCCTAAAACATTTTGAAGGATAACGATTTAGTATTTGATTTTTTTCTATGCAAAACACTGAATTGATACCAAGTTCTTGAATTATTCATGAAATATTTTAGCTGATTTGTTTCTTGATTGTGTTTATTTCCAAGCATAAATATATTTTACATACATATCTGAAAGCTTTGACCTTCTTATAAGATAATGAATATATATCAAAAGATACTACAAGTTATGGGATACCTTCACTTACATTTAGTTTTTTCCCCTGTTAGTCTACTTCCATGGCCTCTGGAAAAATTAACAGCTATGTTATCCACAATTTCTTTTATTTCTGTCAATTTTTTTATTATTATTTTATTTTGCACATTGATGTRTATATGGGTATATCCCGATATTGATATATCGGGTGTATGCAGGATATAGAGGATGACCCAATATTCACTATATATAGAAGCGGCCATGGTATCCATTCTCAGGCGGACGTAAAATTGAACACTGATGGCCTTTCCATTTGATAGCGAGCGCCCTTAAGCTTCTTTCTAGGTCTATTAGTAGCCATGTGAAGAAGGAGCGTTGAAATAAATTGAAATTTCTTATAAGCAATTCCATAGTGCCGCAGCGAATATATTCAGCTATACTTTTCAGCAGGGCATGATTTTTGAGCAAATACTCATCGCWTGTGTTCGAGTTTCGTACATCACTCTCCCTCGATTCGAGAGTTTTTCTCCTAGTTCTCCGGTTTTCCTCCCTCCACGCTAACACCGGCGCTAAATTACAACTCAAACTGTTGTTTAACCTTGCCTTGACTTTAATAAACCTGGGGGTTGTTTCAGGATATCGATATACTGAATTTAAAGTGGTATTTTTACAGCTTTAAAACGTACGCATTATCATTCATTATCACAAATAACCACAAATATACAGAACTTATTTTTGTTGTAATTTTTCTTTTTGTTCCAAAAGGTTTTTTGTTTTTATTTCAATCTTTTTTCATTCATATTTTGATTTTCACTTAAACTTTTCATCAGAGTAATTAGCGACTAATATTTTTTTTCCATTTCACAAAACCGAGAATTTTCTTCGTTGCTTTAAATTTACTGAAGCAATTTTTAAAAACCCACTTCAAATTCTACCAACAGTAAATTAAAAACAAKTTGATTGAAGTCCTATATTACAACTGCATTCATTTCCAATGGCGGAGAATAGTTCTCCTTTCTTTATATAAGAGAATAGAAAGCACTTCACAAAATTATTTTCAATAATAAGGCAATATTTTCAAGTACGCCGCTTTTATAATTTTGTTTAAGAAACTCGACCTATTAATGAACATCATAATATATGCGGCACGAATTTTTTTCTTAAGTCGCAGGAGCAGAAAAAAGGGCCTTAAAATTATAAGGATATTCTATTAGTATATTCTTAGTATGTATTCCAGGCATAAGTTTTCTTAGTTTTTTTTAATTAAATTTAATATTTTGCTGGAATGTTCCTTCACCATAGTGATTTCCAATGTCTTGTAAATCAACAACTTAGAAAAAACAGTTAAAATGATAAAATGCAGATTTAATAAAAAAATCATGATATTGCATCAGTTTTGACACTGGACTGGAAATCGTGGCACATAATCTTGTTCTTGGCAAAGACCATTTTTACATGGCAATTTTTGAGAAGTCCTCCTTATTCCAATGTTCACTTAATGCCTGCATGGCACAGAATAGGCGGACACATCCGGGACATTTCTATTGTTTTGGCGCGCGGTTCAAATCATGTTCAYTTGACTGTGACTCGTTTACAGAGTAAAATTACAAGAGAAATGGCTAAAAATGGCTCAAGTAGACTCTGAAAACCAGTAATTTTGTATCTTCTTCTNTATTTATTTATTTACTTTTATGAAAAGCTTCATTGATGTTTCTCTCACTGTGATCCATTGAGATTCTAAAAATAAAGTTGCTTACAAAGATTTAAGAAAATCCTAGAGAATATAAGATACTGCGTGCGCTGTGATTGGCCAGCTGAAAATATGTTATAAAATTTAACATACTAAGTTCAATGTGATTGGCCAGCTGAGAATTTGAGTTATAAAATATAAAAAATACTACGTGCGCTGTGATTGGCCAGCTAAAAATTTGAGTCATAAAGTATAACATACTACGTTCGTTGTGATTGGCCAGTGAAAATTAGAGTTATAAAATATTTCAGATACTACGCGCGTTGTGATTGGCTAACTGATAGTTTGCTGTAGGAGGTAGGTTTCTCGTGCGCTTGTTTGTGTACGTGCAAATCTTCGTTAAGGCATTTTAATATAACTAATATAAATTGACTGCACTAAGAGAAACCCTTGAGATTGTAGAAGACTCTAGAACCAGAGAAAACTATTAATGTGTTATTTTTTCTCGCGTCTGTATTACGGTATAAAGRCAACCTTACTTTGTAGACAACTCGGTCGTTTTATTCCTCATAATAATCGTATACAACACTTAGAAAATACTGAGCTGGAATTTCCCTGTGAAATTGTAGACAAGCTGATAAAGATTAAGAAAATGGCCCTTGAATGTCATAATGTTGAGATTGTTTAGTGGTATTAGTTTCTAAGAGGATTTCAATTTCGACTCAAGTAAAAGCTTTCTAGAGATTATTGGTTACCGTGACAACGTAATAGTGGCAATTAAAGGTTATTAGGCACTAAGCACTGAAAAGATGAGATGATGRATATTGTCATGAACGCTAATTATAGACAAATCGTCTGCTACTTGCTTGAGCTATGTTTCTGAACATTCGTTATTATTTCTTCATTCGTTGACCTTCCCTTCGCTTTCGATTCCTGTCTCCCTTGTTCCTTTTTCCTTCCTTTCCTTCCATTGCCCTTCTATTCTCCTTCTGTTCCATTTTGTTTCTACCTTGCTTCCTTGCTTCCCTCCTTTCTGCCGTCGTTCATTGCATCCTTGCTTCCTTGCTCCCTTGCTTCCTTGCTTCCTTCCTTTCCTTTCCTTTCCTTTCCTT